AGGGTGGGGGGGGGCTGGCCACAAATCCCACCCCACCTCGGTCATCTCCTTGACCAGCCACCCCAGATCTGCTGCCTCTGGTGCTGGTGACACTGGTGGTGGGCTACGTGGACAGCCACAACCACCTGACCAGCTCCCCCGTCAAGTTCACGTTGGCCCTGCTCTCCATCATGCCTCTCTCCTACTACATCGGGATGGCCATCGCCAGGTGAGTGGTGACAGGGGGGACGCTTTGTGGCAAGGTGAGGACACATGCCAGCCTGGCTGATGCCCTCCTTCTCCTCCAGCATCTCGGCCCAGAGCAACTTTGCAGTGGGAGCAGTGGTGAACGCCACGTTCGGCTCCATCACGGAGCTCACCTTCTACATCACGGCCCTCATCAAGGGCTCGCGTGAGGGCAACCGCTGCTACGCCGAGATCGTCAAGTCGGCGTTGACGGGGACGCTGGTGGGCTGCGTCCTCTTTGTCCCGGTGAGATGGGGTGGCACATTCATGGAACGAGAGTGCCCGGTCTCTGCAGAGAGCTGGGAGGATGCTGGGAGCAAAGCACTGATGGGGATTTTTTGGGGGGGTCTTCTCCATCCCCAAGGGTCTGTGCATGGTGATTGGGGGCATCCGGCACCAGGAGCAACGGTTCAACAGCCGCTCAGCGGGCGTCAGCTCAGCCCTGCTCTTCCTCTCCGTGGGAGGTGAGTTGGGGACAGGGGTGTCCCCACGTTTTTGGGGGTCCCACCAGCGTGGGCACCCATGCCATGTTCCTCCATCCCTGCAGGTGTCTTTGCCCCTACGCTCTTCTCCAAGGTGTACGGCAAGCTGGTGTGCGGCGAGTGCCACAACGTCACCCAGAACCCGCTGGGCCACTACCTCTGCCACAACTGTCACTTTGACCTGGTGAGCGGGGACATGGAGCCCCGACCGCTGGGGTTTGGAGTTGGGGACGCTCTAAGCCCACTTAGCTCCTGCTCTTGGTGGTGGCAGCGGAGGTGTCCCTTGTCCCCTGCATCCCTGTTGACAGGCTCTCTCTCTGCAGATGGAGAACAACGGCACCCTCTACTACAGTCACGTCCAGTGAGTGTCTGCTGGGGTGGGGACAGGGTTGTCGCCACAGTGGGGTGGCACCTCCAGGGTTGGATTGTGGCCCCGCATCCCTCCCAGGTCTCCTCTCCGCCCCCCCGAAGGGCTCCGACCCTGCACCCTCATCTCTTCCATCCCCAGCCAGTGCAGGGGACCCCCCTGGGGTCTCCCTGTTAGACCCCGGTGGCACTGAAGATGTCACCCATGTCCCACAGACCCCTGGTGTACACAGTGTCCCTCCTGCTTCCCGCTGCCTACCTCATCGGCCTCTTCTTCACCCTGAAAACTCACTCGCACATCTACGACATCCACATCAGCGACTGTCACAGTGAGTGTCCCCAAACTGTGGGATACCCTAGCTGTGGGGCCAGCTCTTCTCACCACCTCGGGGTGTCCCACCATGTCTTTGCTCTTCCTCCAGTGCCTGGCCACCACCACAGTGCTGTGGTCCACTGGTCTCGCTGGCGAGCCCTGGTCATCCTCCTGCTCTCCACCCTCTGCATGTCAGCCTGTGCCGACCTGGCCACGGAGCACATCAGCCCCATCCTCACCAACTCCACCATCTCACAGGTGAGCATGGGGATGGTGGTGAGCCAGGTTTGGGTGGCCCTGGGGACCACGATGTGCCCTCCAGGGATGGGAACCTGCCCTGGCTGCAGGGTTGAGCCCCAAAATCCGGGGAAAAGATGCTGAGATGCTCCATGCACCGTGGAGCTTGGTTGCCCACAGCTTGGATGTGGGTCAGGATCAGGCCATACACATGCACTGATGTCACCTCTTCCCTGCAGTACTTCATCGGTGTCACCGTGCTGGCGATGGTGCCTGAGCTGCCAGAGATCGTCAACGGCATCCAGTTCGCCCTGCAGAACAACCTGAGCTTGAGGTGAGATGGCTCAAAGGATGGGTTTTGGGGTGTCCTCCTCCAGTGTGGTCCCCGTGCCCTGTCCCAGTCCCATAGCTGTGCCTTGGTGCCAGTGATGGGCTGCCCAGCTTCATGCCACTGGTGGGTCAGATCCCTGCTAACTTGCCCTCAAGAGGACTTAAAGCCACCCAAAAAATGGGGCCAGAACCAGGTTGGGCTGTGTGGTTGGGTTCCCCAAGGTGGGTTTTTTTCCTCACCCTGAGCTGAGCGACCCAAGGGCTACGGGAGACCTGGCGCTTGGCAGCTCTTAAGTCCTCTGTCCTCCCCAGCATCGAGATTGGGAACTGCATCGCCGTCCAGGTCTGCATGCTCCAGATCCCCATCCTGGTGCTCTTCACCATCTTCTACGTGAGTAGCCCCAGGACAGCCCCTGCAGGGTGACCTCCTGCAGCAGGGTTGGGGACACACAGCACTCCATGAGATGTGGCAAGGGCATAACTGCTGTCCGCAGTGTCTCCTCTCCTTTGCTCAGTGCAGGGGAAAGTGGGGTCAGATGTCTCCTACCTTGGGTGATGCTGTCCCCAACCCTAGGGACATGTGGCAGAGGGAGTCCAAGGGGTGACATGCAAGTCCCCAACCACAGTCAGTGTGGGGCTGTCCTGGTTGGCCATAAACCCAAAATCCTCTCTGCCTCACAGCCGACCAACTTCACACTTGTCTTCAGCGACCTCCATGTCTATGCCAGCATGTTCAGCGTGGTGCTCATGAACTACATCTTCATGGATGGCAAATGTGACTACTTCCAAGGTGACCGCTCACCCATGAGGCTGCTGTTGGTCTTGGTGTACCCACCTTCCCTGTGCTGATGGGGGTGGAGGGCTCCTGGAGACAGCCCTGGAGTCATCTGCTTGCTGCAGCTCTTGGCATGTGGTGGCTTAAGCAATTCTGGGGTCTTGGTTGACCATCTTGGAGGTGCTGGAGCTGCCACCCTGCAGCAACTCCAAAGGGCATCACTCCCTTTTCACCCTTAAAAGGGAGTTTTAAACCCCTTTTAACTGAGATTTTGCAGAGGATCATGAAAGTCCTCTACAGTAGGCTAGTCCAGACAACACCAGAAGGTCTTAAAAGCAACTTCCCTCCTTGCTCTAGGGAGTAACCCCCTCCAACCTACTCTGTCTGCCCTAGGCACGGTGCTGGTGATGGTCTACTTCATCCTCCTGGCTGTGTATTTCTTCGCCCCATCGCCCAGTGGTTGCTGAGGTTTGGATTCTGCTTTCTCGAACCCTCCCACTGGGTTCAGTGCTCGTCGGGGAGTTATCCGGTGTCTCAGGGACTCAGCCGGGCTGGCTCCGGTCTGGAAGCATCATTTGCTGAAGCTCCTGCTGCTGCCTGGCTCCCCTGGTGGGGTGCCAACAGGGCTTCAGTGATGGGAAAGGTGGTGGCCACAGAAGCACTCCTGAACCAAGGAAGAGCCTCAATGCCAGAGCACTTCATGGAGGTATTTCCAGCCCACACGTGTGTGGCTGGCAGGAAAATTGTCCTTAGTGGAGGGTCTTGAAGGGGGTTTCTGTGTGGTCTCGAGGACAGACCCCTCCCTTGGGACATGTTGCACTGGGAGAAGGTGCCTCAGAAGAGCCTCTTGGCCTTCTAGGCAGTGGGTGATCCTGGGCCTGGAAGGGAGTCGGGTCTGGGGATCACACAGGGCTTCTTGATGGTACTAGAAACGCACCAAAAGGTATTTTTCAGCTGTTTTGTCATTAAAGCAGTTTTGTACAAATCAGAAACAAGCTCGTTTCTCCTTAAACGAGCCTTCAGTCGCTTCTCTGGGCCCCTCTGTGCCCACCACCCAGGTTAGCGATGGTCTTGGGGTGATGGCCACTTGGTGCGCACCAAGGCTGGCCCTCAATGTGGTGGGTGTTGGACACCAGCAATGGCTCAGTTGGAGCCAGCATCTCTGGGAGCAGAGCAGGACAGGACTCAATGTCCTCTGTCACAGCACCAGAGCAGGTGACAGGGGAGATCCACCACTGTGCCACAGGGACAGAGCCAGCAGTGGGGTGGCTGTGGGCTCCAGCTTTCTTTGTGACCTTCCCTAAGCTCCAGCTCTTGTTTGCAACCTGGTCTTGTCTGACTGTCCTGGGTCATCCTTGCTCAGAGGTCTCTAACAGGCTCCCAAGAAGGGTCAGGGATGCTCCTGATGCTGTTCACAGGGTACGAGGTGTGACATGCCGGGGACTGGCTCATCTCCCTCTGCAAAGGGAAACACCAGCAGGTGAGGTGAGAGGACAAAGCCAGTGGCTTGGACTGATTTATTATCAGAGCTTTTAAAAAAAAAAAAAACCAAAAAAAAAAAAAACCCAAACCCAAAACAAACAAACAAAAAAACCCCAGAAGCAAAACACCGACAGATACATAAATACAGGCAATGTGGCTCCTGTGTCCCTTCTCCCTCCCCAGCCCCGCAGGGACATACTTCGGCATAAAAAGCGGGGAGAGGAGTGCTGCTTGCTGCCTGCAACGTGATCGTTGAACTCCAAAAGGTCCCATAGTCAACGGAGAAACAGGACTAGACTTTAAACAGCCCAGAGTAAGGCAGGCAGCGGGCAGCACCCTGGGATCCTCCTTCCCAAAGGATGGCAGCTGCCCGTTAGCAATTAATGATGCTGTTTTATCAAGCTTTTTTTTTTTCCTAGTATCGGCTCAGTATGGACAATCCTGCTGTTGTTAATACAGACATTTGGGAAGATTCCTGGGCGAGTACCCAGAGTTGGCTGATGGCAGCAGATGGGCTCAACAGCGCGGGGCAGTAAGAGATGGAAAAGGCGTGGGATGGGAGGGCACAAGATGATGGCACCACGCAGGTTCTTTTACATCTCATCTGAGGCTAAACAGAAACCATCTACTCTGGGGTGAGGGATGCTTGGGACTTCTCCTGGAGCCACTTCTCCAGTGTTTGGGAAAGCGTGGTAGGACCAGCACTGCAGGTCCCTTCCCCAGTGCCCTGCTCTGCACCAGTAGCCACTAGTGGCTGCATGGATGCCCCAAAGAGGTCCCACATTGCCCCAAGCTGCTCTGCTTGGTGCTGGGAGCAGGGCTAAGTCGTGGGGTGAAGGCAGCAGGGCTGTTCTACAAAACCCTGTTCTGAGATGGCTTTCTCTGTCTGTGTGTGTCGTGTACCCATCCCAGATTCTCTTAACTCCTCTTCCCTCCTCCATCAGCTGCAGATGGTGAATCCTTTCCCTCTCCCTTAGGGAACTCACAGCCCTGCCCTGGCAGAGGCATAACTCTCTGCTTTTTTTTGCTTTTGAGTATGGTATTGCACAGAGGGAGTTACTTGCCCTTGAAAGGGAGGAACCAGTACTTGGGCATCACCTGGGCTGGAGGTAAAGACCTGCAGCAGATGGAGCAAGAAAAGCCTGGAGTTATATATCCTTCAAGCTGCACCCCAGAGCAAAGCCTGTGCCCCCGTGAGCCAGCGAGAAGCTTTTATCATTCAAAAACTCAGCATGCAGTAGACTAGCAGCAATCCAAGCAAATGCTCAAAAGGGAGCTGTGACCTTTGCAAGTAATTTTTTAGGAAGAGCAAGCCATAAATCCTGTGTGCTGGGGACACAGCGGGGCTGTGTTGGAGGGGTGAAACAAGCTCCAGGCCTTTGGTGGAGGGCACCAGCAGGCTCTGGGCTTCCACCTTCAGTGGTCCAGCCAGTGGAGGAGGCTTGGGCACTTGTGTCTGGGTGACTCAGCAGTGCCTTGGTGTGTCACAGGGATGTCAAGGATTGTATCGTGGCTAAATATCTTCCATGTCAAGATTTGAAACTAAGATTAAGTGACAGTGTTGCAGGTGTCAGTATGGACCCAGGCTGAGGCCAGATGTGCCCCAGCTCAGCACCCACCACCTTCTTCCCTGTGTTCACATCAGGGGGAAAGCTCCAGGCTGCCCCCATAAGGCTGCTAGAGCAAGGAAGACATAAGAGCTTAAGGAATCTGCTTGATCAGAGATCCAGGCTCAGATGGTTTTAATATTGCCTTGGTGATGATGGGAGATGCTCTTTGAAGTAGGTAAGGGAAGAACCAGCACATCTATGACCAGGCTGTTCCAGTACAAAGGTCCCAGCAGAACTGGAGGCCAGAAGGCAAAGATTAAGTGCAGACATTCAGCCTCCGCAAGAAGAGGCGAAAACCACTGAGTTTAGGCCAGAAGAGGGAGCTGGAGAAAAGGCCCATTGGCCCAACATGGTCCTAGAGAAGAGGACAGCACAAGCCAGGGGCAGGAGAGCAGGCTGCCCTTCCCCAGCTGCCAGCAGGGTCTGGGGTCAGCCCCTGAGCTGAGAGCAATGGGATGCTGCAGTGAGGAAGCTGCAGGGAGGCTTGGAAGGGGTTGAAATAGGATGATAATACTCGCCAGGAGCAAAAGCTTTCTGTCCCACAGGCTCTTAGCTAGAAGCCAGCCCAAACACAGAGAGTTGGGGGGCTGCGAAAGCTATGCCATGCAGCTGAGGTTCCCAGCTTTGCTCTGTGAGCTGCATGTCCTGCAAAGATACAACGAATGGGACAGATATGAGAGCTACAAGCAGCTGCCACTACTTTCTGTGGTCCAAAGCACCAGAGAATGCTTCAGCTGTGATGCCCAACCTTTATTTTTCTGGGCCTTGGGGCGGGGGGGGGAAGCAGCAACTGAGGCTACAGAAGGGGGAAGAAAATCTATCCCCAAGCACAAGGAAAGCTTAGCATTAGGGCAAGTGGGAACACTTCAACTGAACATCAGGGTGGGTGCTCCCTAAGAGGGGTTAGCAGTGACTCGGATCAGCCAGTGCTGTTCAGATTAACAACACGAAGACAATGCTATGGTTTATTTAAACATAAATGCAATCTCTTAAAAAGAAACTTGCCTTTGATGGAAGGGGAAGGTACTAAGAAAAGCTGATTTAAAAAAAAAAAAGGCACTTAAAAATAGTCTTCAAATGAAAAGGATTTTGCACAGACCTGATGCCAGCCAACTGGAGCTGCTCAGAGTTCAATGGCCACTTACACATGGTCTCTAGAGCTAACTTCACAGTATATGGAGCACAGCAAGACAAGAGACAGACATCCCTTCCTCTCCTGCCTGTGCAGAGATGACCACTGCTCATAGCAAGAGGGAGAGATGTTCCCTCTCCCCTTTTTTTTGATGCTGCGTTTCCTGGGATGAGCAATCCATGAGCTTCCAAGGACCCAGAAAGCCACTCACAAAACTGGCTTAAAACCACACGCAGCAGTAACATCCCCCACCCCCGCAGGAACGTGAAGCTAACTAGAAAAAGGCCAACGTGATGTGTGGGAGGAAGGAAAACAAAAAGCTTACAGGTACACATTAGAGTCAGATGCTGATAACCAGGACTGAGTTGGTATGGGTGGCTCGCACCCAAGCACTGGGTAGAACACACTGCAGGTTGAAAGACAGCTCTGAAATCTACGGGGTGAGTTTTTGCAGTTAGCTCGTTCAGAGTGCAATGTGAGCAGACAGGGTTAAAAAAGATTCAGCAAAACCTTTTCCTTCCCCTCACTACCCCAAGTAAACTACACAGTAGTCCATTAAGTGGCAACTTTTAACCAGTCTTCCAAGCAAACCTTTCAATATGAAAAGGTGAGGAACAGAGACACGGGGTGTTTCAAATCACTGCAACACTGCACCAGAAAAGCTGCACAGGCAAAGCTTTGCTCACTGCCCCATGCGACGTTCCAGCCGTCTTCCGAAGCTCAAAGACATGGGAACATGCCCATGAAACACATGCAAAGCCTTCAAGCAGAAGGAGTTCTCGGTTTTATAGAGGGAGAGCTCAGCTGGGTGTTAGGGGGATGAGTGTCATCCAAAGCAAAAGAACAGGTCGGCTGCTGTTCTGCATTGAATGTCCTCCGTTAGATACAGCTTGTGAAAATACTAAGTTGAATGCGCCACATGTAAGCATGGGCTCAGATATTCGCTAAGTTCCCCACCCTCCCCAATTAAGTTGCAAGCATGTGCTGATGACAGTTTGATGGCTGGATGTTATGGATTAGTCCCAGAGAGTATTTTTGATTAATGGTGTAATTTAGAGATCCATAAATAAGAAGTGGATTTTCAACAACTTAAAGTAAAAATTTCTAGAAAGGCATCGATGTATTTGCTGAGTAAGGCGTTGAGCGGGTTCCTCCATGTTCTTAGCAAGACTATCCACGGTATCCATAAATAGGGGACGGGAGGGGGCTTCTTGAACGTAGTGTGTCTTGGACAGAAGCATGA